TCAAAAAGCGGTTGATCAGAAACAGAGTTTACGATGTTGAATGTATCAAAGATTACATAATCTGTCCTTACGAAAAAATTGGGAACTGCGCTAAATCCGGAACTGTCTACCAATCGGAAGGAGCTTGAGTTGCAGAACAGTGTCCATTGGAGCGACGAGCAGACCTTCAAGTACTAGAGTAAGCGAGCACTTGCGAACATGAGGCGATGAAACCTATTGTCTCCGTTGGGTAAGAATAAGTTTGAAGAGCACGGCGGCAATGATTTTAGCGTTAAATGTGTCATCCTAGCGTTTGAGACTGATATCCTAACACGAAAAATCCTTAAAGCAGCGTGGATATACTCTCTTGATCCGAGTATAAACAACAGAAATATGTCTGACGATAACGAGTGATCTACTGCCATTGATATCGTTGTGTGAGCTCGATACCGCACATTATAAGTAGCAAGACACACTGGACAGAACTCAGTGATGTCCGTCACACTGATATAGTGCGGACTACTGACTCTTTGGTGGACCGAAGGTTTGTTTGCCCGTTCGATGTGCCCAGTACGTTGCGTCTGAGAAAACGGCAAAAGATGTTTGGCGACACGTTACAGCGAATACGTAAACTACAATCCTTTTCAGACCTCCGACGAAGAAGAGAGAAACGTTAGATCGATAAAGTTCCACCATACCAACGTGTGCGGCATAAGAAATACTAGTACATCAACTAGAAAACGAGTTATTACAATTAATCAATCCTAATGATTAAAGTGAACTGTTGCGTAATGCTGTTTCCTTGGCTGTTATTGTATTTCTTTTTTTAGCGTCTAGGTAGGGTGCAGCTTATATCATTCAGATCAAAATTGATGTTCTGCTTTATCGGATAATGCCCTTTTCATCCACGTTTTCCCGATCGCAATAAGCGTAGCCAAATCTTCGTAAAATCCTACTACCTACCCAATTTATGCAGAAATATTTGTGAGGTTTTTGAGTGGTGGAGCATCACTTGCATTACCTCCCAGTTTACAAGCAGTAATTTTTCTTTGAACCTTTGATTTTGATTGAAGTTCAATAGCGGGAGGGATATTGAGGGGAGAGGGGTGTAAGTGAGGGTCCCGGATCGCATAAACACGTTTGACGCTGCATGCAATGCTTGCGCTGCATGCAATACTTACATAAGAAAAACAGGACGTCCACTAATTTCTCGCGTCAAAGAACATCTAGATGTTTTGCGGAAGTCCAAAATATCTACACCTATTTGGGGCCTATCATAAAGAATGTCATCAAGACGCCGCCATGAAAATTGCTGCATCCATTTTAAGTGCCCGTTCTCCCTGCATGAATAGGAAAGATGAAAGTATAGGTATGATGAGTGATCTTACAGTTTATCAGTGTTTTGGGGACTATAAATATACAGCGGAGAAGGGCGCATCAGTTTATTCATTTTCGCTACCTTAGGATAGTGGATATTGGGTGGCCGCGGTGAGATTTTGACTGTTGCGGTTAAACTTCCGTTACAGCGTCTGAAGAAGGCGATAGATAGCCAAAACGCAAGCATTTTTGTTATTTTTACACCACCTTGGTTACTTAAATAGAACTGAAAACAGTAATCATATGCTATCTAGCAGTCGCATTTTGTCAGTTATTAAAAAAGATATCCCCTTTGCTTTTTGTCTTAAAACGATATCCAGCTCGCTTATAAGCCACCTGCGCATGATTCGACTTCCAAAAATGATCGGCAGAAGCAGATCTGGAAACAGCGTTAGGAGACCATAATGTTATGCATTTGGAAACGCTTCTATTAAAAACATTCTTGATGAGAACTTTTCGTACATAAACGGAAACATTCGGTGCATTATCATTCAGCAAAACGGAAATATTGCCTTAGGTTCCAGACAGACTTCACGCGATTTGATCGTCGTGACTGAATCGCGACGCGACAACTGTTACAACACCATTCCATGCCGATCAACTTGCATTTCGGTTGTGATACTTTTCCAGTCCGAAATTTTAGAATGTGAAATGAAAATGAATGGAAATGTCGACGATTGAGTCGCGACGATCAAATCGCGTGAAATCTGTTCGGGGCCTAAGGAGTGAGCATTTCAAAAAGAGCGTCTGAAGATTCCTTCACAAAGGGTCGCGGGCCTCAAAAATAGTGCTAAACTTGTAGGTTGCACTTTGTTTCCTTTTCTAAGGTACTATCGCGGGCAGTACATTTGCCAAAACTTGAAAGGTTGATGCAAGATTGGTCTGAAAGTTTAGGTCTAAAGAACTGAGAGCTAATGTTTTGTATTGCCTGGAAGATCTTTGTGCCATATGACTGAGCAGCTAAAGGGACACTCAGATCAAATCCCAAAGTAGCTGCACAAAATTTTCAGCAGGCCTTGGGGTGCCACTTATAGCAATAAAAAACCTTCGCGAAAGGTGCAAAGAGAATTTCAGCAAGATAATATCCCCAGAAATTATTGAATTTGCAGGTTGAGGGCGTGTTGTCTTTTTTGTTACTCATAATATTTTATAGAGCAATTCCTTTTTAATACCTGTTCGATACCTGTAGCAAAGATGAGTCAAGTATGTGCATAAAAAGAATGATGAAAATTCTAGTGGAACAAGGATTACAAGCATGCCCTGAACAGACAGTGACCATAAAAGGGTGATGGACTTAAATCAGTGTAAATCTGTTGTACGCTAGAAATTGTAAGATGTGGCGTTGAAGTTAGAACAGAGTAATATGACATCGATCGAAGACCGTTCATCAGAGAATCTGAAAACTGAGCTGTCTTGTACGTATAAGTAAGACAACCATCCTCGCCCATGATGCCGTCAAATCATATGCAAAGTGTTTCTCAAAAATGTTGTCAATTGCGCAGCTGAGTTCTCAAATAGTTTTTGACCATCGGGCCTCCCTCCTTTCCCTTTTCTCCACTTTCTCGTGGCTTATTTGAAGAAGGTGGGGCTAAACAAAATATAGGGAGTTGAGAACACCTTTTTAGGTCTTATTAACTACTCTATTTTCAGGTATATAAGCCGCAGTTTAATTTTTGAGCAAGCTGCTTGCCGCATTACTGTATTTCGGAAAACCTTATGCCACAATTTTTTTAGGCGATACGCAGCACGGTATATAATCCTTTGATCGTGAAGTCTTTTGGCTATTTGGGCTGAAAAATAAGGATACTAATATAATATACTCCTCTCAACTAACTGCAGTCCACAAGAAAATCACTGTTTTCTTTCTCAATCTACGCAAATACATGTGTTCGCGTAAATTAAAAAAAAGAAAATCTTAGGCACTGTTTCGTCAAAAAACATCAAGACCTTATATAACGGGCTAAGGATTGTTTGTGTGTATGTGTGTGTGTGTTTGTGTGTGTGTTTGTTTGTGTGTGTATGTGTGTGTGTTTGTTTGTGTGTGTATGTGTGTGTGTGTTTGTGTGTGTGTGTTTGTTTGTGTGTATGTGTGTGTGTTTGTGTGTGTTTGTTTGTGTGTGTGTTTGTGTGTGTGTTTGTGTGTTTGTTTGTTTGTTTGTGTGTGTGTTTGTGTGTGTGTTTGTTTGTGTGTGTGTTTGTGTGTGTGTGTTTGTGTGCGTGTTTGTTTGTGTGTTTGTGTGTGTGTTTGTGTGTGTGTTTGTTTGTGTGTGTATGTGTGTGTGTGTTTGTGTGTGTGTTTGTGTGTGTTTGTTTGTGTGTGTGTGTGTGTTTGTGTGTGTGTTTGTTTGTGTGTTTGTTTGTGTGTGTGTGTTTGTGTGTGTGTTTGTGTGTGTGTTTGTTTGTTTGTGTGTGTGTTTGTGTGTGTGTTTGTTTGTGTGTGTTTGTGTGTGTTTGTGTGCGGGTTTGTTTGTGTGTTTGTGTGTGTTGTGTGTGTGTCTGTGTGTGTTGTGTGTGTGTCACGAAATTCGTAGAGCGTGTTCCAGCCAGCGTTGTAAGCCCAAATTTTGCACAGCGCATGCTACCTTCACGAAAGTCCAACATGCAAGACATGAACAGATTCGTTGATTGGATCCCTCAGAAATTGCGCGCCAAACGGATCCACCTGGCTTCAGGCCAACAAAATCGGGTCTATACCACCACTTTTTGCAGAGTCGTGGATGTGTTTGGTAAGTAAATGTGCGAGCGATGGACTTTAGCCGGAAAGTGGTCAAATTCACTACATAACGAAAAAGGCGCCAAAAAGAATTGGTTGCATAAACGGTCAGTTTGCCAAGGTTCTAGCCAAGCATTTGAGAAGTTTTTTGCGCAGAGATCTAACTCACGGTGACTATTGCCTTTATGCTACTACCAAGCCATGACAAATTCAAAAGCCTATTCAAGCTTGCGTTTGTCTTCCTGCGAAAAGTTTCATAGCGCGAAATCACCGATCTCATGTGAAAAAGCTTTTTAAATGAGTCGTTACATTTTATTCGTGACAGTAGGCATAGCGCGGTGAGTTCCTGTGCCACGATTTTACGAGAATGAGTAAGGCACATACATGGCAGAGCCAGTGCGAGTCTCTGCGAAGCAGAGGTGACGCACTGGTTTCGATAAATCTTTTTTCTTGAACGAAATGTTGCGAAAGGAAGATCACTAAATGCGGCTTTATGTGCATAAGATCAATGTTGTCAGCCAGGCAGTGATGTATCGATATCAATCAGGAGCAGAAACTTTGAACTTCGTTTGCTTTACGTGCATGAATTAAGAAATAGATAGAATGAACAGAGGAAAAAAAGAAGGAAAAGGGAAATAATTAACGGTCTACTGAAATAAACTCAAAAACATAGCAGAGATCTTTGATAACTAAGTGTGTTGTTCACAATTGGTCGGTTTTTGCAAAAAAATGATGCCGTAATTAATTCTAGGCATGTCAACCCAAAAACTCGTACCGCTGCGTTTCTACACAAGATTGCTATTCAAAAAAGACAGTGAAAGAAAAAGTAAAAGAGCCACTTTGAATGTTTGAAGAACTGCGCGTACGCAACGAATACAGCGAAGCTAAGGAAACATCAGATGAAAACGCATAAAACATAGAAAGGGCTTACTGTTTTCCATCCTTCCTCTGTAGGACTACCGGAATTGTCGAGAATAATTACAATAGATCTAGTTTTAGTTGTGTTCACATAATCTATGCAAACGGTACCCTACAATTATTATGATTTAACTGATTTCTCTTGAAGCCAAAACTCAATGACGAAAAGAAAACATACCTCCGGATAATGCCCATACTTTTTTGGATCTTTTTTCCTGCCATCATTTTCTTCATTGTTACAAACACATCTGCTCTTTTTCTGGTCGTAATAAGCTGCCTTATTGCACATGCTACTGAGTTTCAGAGGAGGTAGATTCGGTGGATTTCCTGTAATTTATAAAATTAGGAGTGTCCAAATTAAAGCTCACAAGGAGAGACTTGCAGTTAAAATGTGTGGTTACTACCGCAGCGGATAAGTGTGGCTCAAAGCCAACTGAGACATCATTTTGCAGGAACCGTAATGCGAATACATCTTTCTCTGCACGTTTCGTAAATTATTTAATTATATTATACAGGGTGCGGCAAAAGTCTGGGAGCCTAGTAGTTTTTCTTACAAAACGAGAAGGGAAGTACCTAGAAACGGAAAATTTGGCGTACACATAATTCGAACCATTGCAGATACAGCCCAGTTCTTAAATTGCAAAATTGCCTCTTTTGGCTTCCACGCAGCCCTACAAAATCTTGGCACATCCACCTGTCATGGCACGAGGTAGTCGTAAAGTTTCGCCCCATGCCTTCTCAAAAACTGCTTCTTTTACCTTGGCAAATGCGCAGAGTGATAGAGCAAATTTTTGTCTACAAAATACTTCCAAAAGAATTTTTGCATTGCTTAGGAATAAAAATATTGAATTTTCAATTAGAAGCAAGTGTACGTCTCATACCGGAATTTTGGCTACAATTGCGCGAATAAAAACTTAAAAATATCGTTTAAAAAGTATAAAAAGTGTTCCCATGGCCGAATTTCAATAGATTCTAATTTAGAAGATGTATGCAATAAATACAGCCTTGGTTCCAGTGCCTGTTGAGCATTCTATAGCTTTTTAAATTTGTTCTGAAGACGGATTGCCACAGGTACGTAAGTAACATTCGCAAACTTTTATTTTCCGTTCATGCAAAAACAGCTCCTGGCAAAAGCAAAACTAGGATACAATAGCGAAAGCCTCTTCTATGTTATATGCAGCGAAGTTTGTAAAATATTAACAGCATCTCTAGTCACAGCAAAAATTGTAGATACCAAAAATTCTAGTTTTTTCGCTTTGCAAAAGTACCAGTTTGGTAATTTCCATTCTTACAAAAACATATGGCAACCATTTCCAGCCAAATAAAGTGTATTCTGTAGAGGATGACCGCAGCATCATGTGGCATAAAATTGAAATCAAAACCATCAGTATCTTTGTAATTGCAGTACTGCAAAGTTAGGCTCCCAGACTTTTGCCGCACCCTGTATATTATATTAGGTTGAACCGAAAGTTCGTTCGCACCATTTTCAAAAAATCATAACTTCTTTCCGTCATAATGATTTTGCGCAATTAAAATTTTATTAGAAAGCGTAATGCATGTAGTTTCCAATAGTCTCCTGGAGACTTTCCAGCATGTTCAGATTGCAGAGATAAAAATGAAAGAACGAAAACATCCGAAATTCGGAATTTTTGAGAAACAATTCCAAAAATCTAGAAACTGCGCGATAAAATCCAGAATAGCCATTATCCTAATTTTTCTTATATTTGATTACTAACTGAGTCAAGTTTGTGCTGATCGAGCTCTTCTTTCAAAAGTTATGATTTTTTGAAAAAAAATTCCGAAAAATCACTTTTTTAAGAATTCCTAAGAAATTGATTTTTCGGCATTTTTTTTTTCAAAAAATCATAACTTTTGAAAGAAGAGCTCGATCAGCACAAACTTGACTCAATTAGTAATCAAATATAAGAAAAATTAGGATAATGGCTTTTCTGGAATTTATCGCGCAGTTTCTAGATTTTTGGAATTGTTTCTCAAAAATTCCGAATTTCGGATGTTTTCGTTCTTTCATTTTTATCTCTGCAACCTGAACATGCTGGAAAGTCTCCAGAGGACTTTTGGAAACTACATGCCTTACGCTTTCTAATAAAAATCTAATTGCGCAAAATCATTGTGAGGGAAGGAAGTTATGATTTTTTGAAAATGTTGCGAACGAACTTTCGGACCAACCTAATATTATATTAAATCTTATATATAAAGCTGAATGTCTGTTTGTCTGTCCGTATGTCTGTCTGTCTGTCTGTATGTCTGTCTATCTGTACGTATGTTCCGAATAGAAAATTCCATTTCTGAACCGATCGGGACCAAACTTGGCACACATACACTTCGGGCCCCGGCGGGTGTCATAGGCTACTTTTCGTCATCGATCGTTATCGATTTTATCGATTTTTTGCAAAATTTGAGCTACGGGGTTGGGAGTTGGCACAGGGGGGTAATCGAGCATGCTGATCACCCCCGTGGGGGTGATCAGCATGCTCGATTACACCCCCCCCTGCCAAATTCCAGCCCCCTGGAATTTGGCAGGGGGGTTGAGAAATGGAATTTTCTATTCGGAACATACGGCGGAGCCGGGTAAGCCAGCTAGTTATATTATAATTAGATTGATTAATTGATTGCAGTACTGCAAAGTTAGGCTCCCAGACTTTTGCCGCACCCTGTATATTATATTATATCATAATTAGATTGATTAATTGATCTAAATCAAATTAATTGGTCCTTTTTACAAAATAGTAGGTCAACCTATTATTTTACCCATAAAAGCTTTCACTTTCAAGTAAGAAATAGAAATGCAGAAGGACTGGGCGAAGCAAAGTTCGACAAGACTAAGCATAGGCTATACTTTAAGCGTTTTTGTCACTCGGAGGCGATAGGATTTGATGCGCAGCCGATTAACTCGATAAACAAATAGTCTAACTCCATCCTATAACGTTAGGCCTCGGCCAGAATTCAGCGGTTTCGTTCAATTCTGCGACAAGATAAATAGTCACGGGTCCATGTGCATGTCGCATATCTTGCATTTCGGTTGTGAAAGTTAGTCAGGTCGCGTTGGCGAACTATCACAAACGGATTGCAAGATGATTGGCATGCTAGGAAATAAATCATTATAAAATGATTAATTATCGACTAAAATGAATTGCTCTGTATTCCTGAATTTTTCCTACTCGATCGTGCTTCATTTCCTGTTTATATTTTAGCGTCCAGGCAAGTTGCAGCTTAAATGTCAATATCGAGTCGAAATAGATCAATCAACTGAAATCCTTTCCATCCATATTTTCACGGCCACGATACAGCACAGCCAAATCTTTCGATTTTCCAACTTATCCAATTTGCAAAGTATTATTTTGGGAGCTTTTGAGCAACCCATTACTTGCATTATCTCCCAATTCCTAAGTACAATTTCTTTCTCTATATGATACTCGGATCTCCCTCATAGAGCCACGGATCTCCCTCATAGAGGGATCACAGCCGGTTAGTCGCGAGGCTACGTGGGGCGTCCCCAGGTGGCGGATAGGGGGATAATCGCCGACCAAAAGCGACCCCGCGCCTGCTCTGATAAGCAAGCGGAGCCGGGGGACGGACTCCCTGCCTCCACTAAAAGCTTGCGCCCTAATTTCCCGGGTAGGTGTGTGGGGAGGCGAGTTCGGAGTCGCCTCCAACAAATAAGCTCCGATCGTCCCTCGCGGGGGTTCTGAGCCCAACAAGCTATCCCTGCGAGTAAATTCTTGTTCGACACAGTGATAATATGGAAAGCTCCTTTAATCTTGGAAGAGCCACTGGTAAGGCAGCGCCAGTGGGGACAAGGTTTGAAAGGCGATCTAGGCTGCCGAAAACGAGACGGACTATGATGACGATCTGTACTTACAACGCGAGGACGCTGGCATCGGACGCATCTATCGAAGATCTCATGATGCAAGCAAGGAAGATTAAGTACGACGTCATCGGACTGACCGAGACAAGGAGGCACCACCCGCTGAACGCCACATTTGAGACTGGAGAAGAACTGTTTCTAGGAACATGCGACAGTCGAGGAGTAGGTGGAGTGGGAGTCCTTGTCAACACGAGTTTGGCCATGAACATCGATTTGTTCGCACAATTTACAACTCGAATCGGACGTTTGCGAATATCAAGATGTGGATCAATCCCTGCCTTGACCGTCTTCGTTGCGTACGCCCCAACATCCAGCTACGACGAGGACGAACTCGAGGAATTTTATATGGACTTGGAGAAGTTCTACAGAGAAGATCATACCTTCTACAAGATCATCCTCGGTGATTTCAACGCGAAGATCGGAACTAGAAGGTCGACTGAGGAACTTCACATCGGAACCCATGGTTTGCAGTGGAACGAACAAGGGGAGAGACTGTCCGAGTTTATCATAACGACGAGGACTATCCATGGAAACTCACAGTTGCAAAAGCCCTCTTCCCTACGCTGGACCTGGGAATCGCCCGGTGGAGAGTACCATAACGAGATTGACCACATCATCGTCAACAGAAGGTACTGCCTGACGGACGTCGCTGTTGTTCCGAAGTTCTACACGGGATCAGACCATCGTCTCCTGCGCGCCAAATTCTACTTCCCGCGGAATGGAGAGAGAGCCGTCAAGTTCAGGAAACATCGTCCCATGAATACCACCAACTGGGATCTGTTTTCTTTGATATCCGGCTCATGGCGAGATACCGTGATGGACAACATCGACGAAGAATACGAACAGTTCGTACAACATCTCCACGGTTGTGCCAAGGAAGCTCGGAGTCTAAGAAGTGCGAGAAGGCGTCTCACCACGGGGACTTTGGAGCTGATACGCCAACGTGGACGCGCACGAGCCACAGGCAACTACCGACTGACGTCCGAGCTTGCGAAGCGATGCAGAGAAGCGATAAAAGAAGACCTTAAGGAGAGAAGAGTAGCAGTGATGGTTGACGCCGCGGAGGCTGGAAGAAGTATACGCAACGCCCGCCGAAGCTTCGTCAACTTCAAGACAAAGATGACTGCACTTCGTCGTCCTGACGGAACCATAACTGCTTCCCGAAGATCAATGGAGAAGGTCATCCACGACTTCTACTCGGATCTTTTTGCGAGCCACGTCCACCT